TCTCTCTCTGAATCATTCTCTCTCTCTGAATCAGTCTCTCTCTCTGAATCATTCTCTCTCTCTGAATCATCTCTCTCTGAATCAGTCTCTCCTGAATCATTCTCTCTCTCTGAATCATTCTCTCTCTGAAATCATTCTCCTCTCTGAATCATTCTCTCTCTCTGAATCATTCTCATCTCTCTGAATCATTCTCTCTCTCTGAATCATTCTCTCTCTGAATCATTCTCTCTCTCTGATCATTCTCTCTCTGATTCATTCTCTCATCTCTGAATCTATCATTCTCTCTCTGATTCATTCTCTCTCTGATCATTCTCTCTCTGAATCATTCTCTCTATATCTCTCACTCTGATTCATTCTCTCTCTCTGAATCATTCTCTCTCTCTGATTCATTCTCTCTCTGAATCATTCTCTCTCTGAATCATTCTCTCTCTCTGAGTCATTCTCTCTCTCTGAATCATTCTCTCTCTGAGTCATTCTCTCTCTCTGAGTCATTCTCTCTCTCTGAATCATTCTCTCTCTCTGAATCATTCTCTCTCTCTGAATCATTCTCTCCTCTGAATCATTCTCTCTCTCTGAATCATTCTCTCTCTCTGATTCATTCTCTCTCTGAATCATTCTCTCTCTCTGAATCATTCTCTCTCTATGAATCATTCTCTCTCTGAATCATTCTCTCTCTGAATCATTCTCTCTCTGAATCATTCTCTCTCTCTGAATCATTTCTCTCTCTGATCTTCTCTCTCTGAATCATCTCTCTCTCTGAATCATTCTCTCTCTGAATCATTCTCTCTCTCTGAATCATTCTCTCTCTCTGAATCATTCTCTCTTCTGAATCATTCTCTCTCTCTGAATCATTCTCTCTCTCTGATTCATTCTCTCTCTCTGAATTCATTCTCTCTCTCTGAATCATTCTCTCTCTCTGAATCATTCTCCTCTCTGAATCATTCTCTCTCTCTGATCATTCTCTCTCTCTGAATCATTCTCTCTCGTGAATCATCTCTCTCTCTGAATCATCTCTCCTCTCTCTGAATCATTCTCTCTCTCTGAATCATTCTCTCTCTGAATCATTCTCTCTCTGAATCATTCTCTCTCTGAATCATTCTCTCTCTGATCATTCTCTCTCTGAATCATTCTCTCTCTGAATCATTCTCTCTCTCTGAATCATTCTCTCTCTCTGATTCATTCTCTCTCTGAATCATTCTCTCTCTGAATCATTCTCTCTCTCTGAATCATTCCTCTCTCTGATCATTCGCTCTCTCTGATTCATTCTCTCTCTCTGAATCATTCTCTCTCTGAATCATTCTCTCTCTCTGAATCATTCTCTCTCTCTGAATCATTCTTCTCTCTGAATCATTCTCCTCTCTGATTCATTCTCTCGATCCGCTGAATCATTCTCTCTCTGAATCATTCTCTCTCTGAATCATTCTCTCTCTGAATCATTCTCTCTCTCTGAATCATTCTCTCTCTCTGATCATTCTCCTCTCTGATCATTCTCTCTCTGAATCATTCTCTCTCTGAATCATTCTCTCTCTGAATCATTCTCTCTCTGATTCATCTCTCTCTCTGAATCATTCTCTCTCTGAATCATTCTCTCTCTCTGAATCATTCTCTCTCTCTGAATCATTCTCTCTCTGAATCATTCTCTCTCTGAATCATTCTCTCTCTCTGAAATCATTCTCTCTCTGAATCATTCTCTCTCTCTGAATCATTCTCTCTCTGAATCATTCTCTCTCTGAATCATTCTCTCTCTGAATTCATTCTCTCTCTCTGATCATTCTCTCTCTGATCATTCTCTCTCTGAATCATTCTCTCTCTGACATTCTCTCTCTGAATCATTCTCTCTCTGAATCATTCTCTCTCTGAATCATTCTCTCTCTCTGAATCATTCTCTCTCTCTGATTCATTCTCTCTCTGAATCATTCTCTCTCTGAATCATTCTCTCTCTCTGAATCATTCTCTCTCTGAATCATTCTCTCTCTGAATCATTCTCTCTCTGAATCATTCTCTCTCTGAATCATTCTCTCTCTGAATCATTCTCTCTCTCTGAATCATTCTCTCTCTGAATCATTCTCTCTCTCTGAATCATTCTCTCTCTCTGAATCATTCTCTCTCTCTGAATCATTCTCTCTCTGAATCATTCTCTCTCTGAATCATTCTCTCTCTCTGAATCATTCTCTCTCTCTGATCATTCTCTCTCTCTGATCATTCTCTCTCTGAATCATTCTCTCTCTGAATCATTCTCTCTCTGAATCATTCTCTCTCTGATTCATTCTCTCTCTCTGAATCATTCTCTCTCTGAATCATTCTCTCTCTCTGAATCATTCTCTCTCTCTGATCATTCTCTCTCTGAATCATTCTCTCTCTGAATCATTCTCTCTCTGAATCATTCTCTCTCTGAATCATTCCTCTCTGAATCATCTCTCTCTCTGAATCATTCTCTCTCTCTGATTCATTCTCTCTCTCTGAATCATTCTCTCTCGAATCATTCTCTCTCTGAATCATTCTCTCTCTGAATCATTCTCTCTCTGAATCATTCTCTCTCTCTGAATCATTCTCTCTCTCTGAATCATTCTCTCTCTGAATATCTCTCTCTGAATCATTCTCTCTCTGAATCATTCTCTCTCTGAATCATTCTCTCTCTGAATCATTCTCTCTCTCTGAATCATTCTCTCTCTCTGAATCATTCTCTCTCTGAATCATTCTCTCTCTGAATCATTCTCTCTCTGAATCATTCTCTCTCTGAATCATTCTCTCTCTGAATCATTCTCTCTCTGAATCATTCTCTCTCTCTGAATCATTCTCTCTCTCTGATCATTCTCTCTCTGAATAATTCTCTCTCTGAATCATTCTCTCTCTGAATCATTCTCCTCTCTGAATCATTCTCTCTCTCTGAATCATTCTCTCTCTCTGCATCATTCTCTTTCTCTGAATCATTCTCTCACTCTGAATCATTCTCTCTCTCTGAATCATTCTCTCTCTGAATCATTCTCTCTCTGATCATTCTCTCTCTGAATCATTCTCTCTCTCTGAATCATTCTCTCTCTGAATCATTCTCTCTCTGAATCATTCTCTCTCTCTGAATCATTCTCTCTCTGAATCATTCTCTCTCTGAATCATTCTCTCTCTGAATCATTCTCTCTCTCTGATTCATTCTCTCTCTCTGAATCATTCTCTCTCTGAATCATTCTCTCTCTGAATCATTTCTCTCTCTCTGAATCATTTCTCTCTCTGAATCATCTCTCTCTGAATCATTCTCTCTCTGAATCATTCTCTCTCTCTGATTCATTCTCTCTCTCTGAATCATTCTCTCTCTGAATCATTCTCTCTCTGAATCATTCTCTCTCTGAATCATTCTCTCTCTCTGAATCATTCTCTCTCTGAATCATTCTCTCTCTCTGATTCATTCTCTCTCTCTGAATCATTCTCTCTCTGAATCATTCTCTCTCTCTGAATCATTCTCTCTCTCTGAATCATTCTCTCACTCTGAATCATTCTCTCTCTGAATCATTCTCTCTCTCTGATTCATTCTCTCTCTCTGAATCATT